TGGCCATGGCCTATGACCGCTATGTGGCCATCTGCTTCCCCCTGCACTACACCACCATCATGAGCCCCAAGCTCTGTCTCTCCCTGGTGGTGCTGTCCTGGGTGCAGACCACGTTCTATTCCTTGTTGCACACCCTGCTAATTAACAGATTGTCCTTCTGTGCAGACAATGTGATCCCACACTTTTTCTGTGAAATATCCGCCCTGCTCAAGCTGGCCTGCTCTGACACTCACGTTAATGAGTGGGTGCTATTTATTATAGGAGGAATTTTTGTTGTCATCCCATTCCTACTCATTCTTGTATCCTATGCAAAGATAGTGTCCTCCATTCTCAAGGTCCCTTCTGCTCGAGGTATCCGTAAGGCCTTCTCCACCTGTGGCTCCCACCTCTCTGTGGTGTCACTGTTCTATGGGACAGTCATTGGTCTGTACTTACGTCCAACAGCTAATAAATCCACTGTGAAAGATATTGTCATGGCTCTGATGTACACGGTGGTCACTCCCATGCTGAACCCCTTCATCTACAGCCTAAGGAACAGAGACATAAAGGGAGCGCTAGGAAGGGCTCTTTTTAGAAAGAAAATTTCCTTCTGTGTGTGAAGGGCTTTTAACATAATTGTTAAATTAATATTCTTAGTGATATTAATATTGGAATATTTTCTCAAAATTTTCCCTCACCATGGGAACTTTGGTTGAAGTAGCATAGGGTATAACTGTTCAATAGGCAAAAGAAAGGAATTTCAGCAGATCAGTGGACTAGGGAAGATGGTCTTGTGGGCCTAGCTTTGCTTTCCTCTCTGTCTTTCCCAGCTGATGCTGGAAAAGCGTAGGTAAAACTACATTTTTTGTGCTCTCCAGTTCTTACATTCTGAAGTTATTCCTAGATCTTTCAGTTTTATCTCAAGTCAGCTTTGACTATGGTATAATTTTAAAATAGTGCTCCATAATCTGAGATTAATACTCAAGAACTTCCCAATGACTCAATCTCCCAGAAAACCTCCAATGTCTCTTACATGATATTCCTGCACAAATTCTGTCGTCATTCCACCTCCTAACTTTCCTACACCCCTTTTTTTATTTTTATGTCTACATTGTCTTTTATTCTCTATCATGTCAATAAATTTTTCTAACCTTCTGTTCAATAGTGTCATCGAACAATTTTGTGTTCACTTGTAATGAACTAATCCAGGAACCCTAGAATTTATTGACCCAGCATGGGGCAAAAAAAAGTTAAAGATCATGGGAAATTTTTCTGTTTTTTTTAAAGTTGCCTCTCTTTTGTGTAATATTTTGACTTTGCAGAAGGTCCTTGTGTGTTTTTTATTGTACCCCCATGACAATTGGAAGGAAGTAGAGAAGCTATTATGACTTATTTTCAGACTAAAATCTAGGAAGTTCAACAACTTTTCATGCCATCCAGTGGGTCAGTTGTTAAGTCTGTGTAAGATCAGAGACTGAAAAGTCTTTTCATTTTCTCCCACTTCCAAATGAAGGGGAGTAACCATTCTTTTCTAAAATTTTAGCACCACCAAGACATGGACTGTTTCTGACCTTGGTCCATTCATTTATTTAGTCATCCTCTCTAACTGGTGATATTCAGATCCATTCCTTTCATATCGTCTACTGATCTCACTACTTTACCTGAAGGCCAGATCTTTCTTCGAAGCTCTCAGCTCTCCTTTTTTTTTAAGCTTTACGTGCTATATTTTTTTATTTATTCATTTTTTAAATTTATTCTTTTTAGATATACATGACAGTACTGTGTATTTTTTATATATAAACGTTTTAAAAGCTTATTTATTTATTTTTTGAGAGAGAGGGAGAGAGAGAGAGAATATGAATCTTTTTTGTACATGGACATAACACAATGCCTTTATTTTTATGTGGTGCTAAGAATCGAACCCAGGTCCTGCCCGTGCTAGGCGAGTGCTCTACCACTGAGCCACAATCCCAGCCCAGTACTGTGTATTTTGACATATTATACATTCATGGAGCATATCTTAGTCTAATTTGGATCCCGTTCCTGTGGTTGTACCTGATATAGAGTTTCACTTGAGTATTCATATATGAACATAGGAAAGATATGTCCAGTTCATTCCACTGTCTTTCCTGATGCTATTTCCACTCCTTTCCCTTCATTCTCCTTTGTCTAATCCTCTAAACTGCTCTTCTCTCTCTCCTTATTGTGTGCTAGCATCCACATATCAGAGAGAACATTCAACTTCTGGTTTTGGGGGGATTGGCTTATTTCTCTTGGCATGATAATCTCCAGATCCATTCATTTACTGCCAAATGTCTTAAAGTCTCCTGGGCTCTGGCTCTGGAGACCACCTGACTCACAGAAGAAACTATACTTTGCAGGTGCTGTTGGGCACCCAGATGTTTCTAGCTCCACTGATGCTTGAAAACAGCTGCAGAAAAACTTGAGATAAAAGGTCTTAGGTGAAGTTTCTTAATTAGACTAAGATATGCTCCATGAATGTATAATATGTCAAAATACACAGTACTGTCATGTATATCTAAAAAGAATAAAATTAAAAATGAATAAATAAAACAATATAGCACATAAAGCTTAAAATGTCAAATGGTTTTTTTATTATTATTATTTTAATTGTTGATAGCTCTTTATTTTTTTTGTAAGGTAAACAATTTTATTGTTGTAAAAGCTGGCATATTTTATGCTAGGAGTTTTTACTATTTTTTTTATTGATTGTTCAAAACATTACAGAGCTCATGATATATCATCTTTCATACATTTGACTCAACTGGGTTTTGAACTCCCATTTCTACCCCAAATACAGATT